CCCCCAACAAAACAACTCGATATAGACCAAGACCAAGCGGCATACAAGTACACAATGTACTTTGACGGCCCTTAGGGCCTTACATAGAAACAATGAATTTGTTCATCCTTACAGGCTTTCTTTATTTTTCAAAAGTACAAAATCGCTATATTATCTATATATCACAGTATTAAAAATTTTCTGCTGTCTTTGAGAAGAACTAGATCTAATTTATATAAAACGTTTTCTCAATTTTGTCCATATAATAAAGGTGTCACTTAATAGAGACTTAAAATTATTCACTCTTGTAGCACCTCGATCTGGATCTAATACTAATAGTATTGGAAGTGCAGTAAAACGCCTACCGAAACAAGCAAAAGTTGAATTTCAAGAAAAACAAATACATGTAGATATCTATATTAAAATAAAAATCCACACTTTTTTATACTATTGTGAGCGTCTGGATTAAAACAGACCCAGCCAAGCCAACAGGCCAATCAATAGCCAACAATGCAAGCTGCCAGAGTTTTACAGTAAATTTTTGGTTGCCAAATGGTAATTTCAACTTTCGACATTTTCATATCAGCAGGTCAAAAAGAAAATCGAAAATCAAACTTTAAAAAAGAATGGATGAAGAATCTACCACCTAGAATGATAGCCTGGTGATTTCATATTATAAGAATATTTACAAAACTTCCCATAGGCTATTCACCTATAGAGACATACACTATCCAAAAGTATTTGAAAGCTTTTAAAATGGGAAAGCTGATCAAATACCAGGTAAACACTTGGCCTACCGGAAGCCGGAAGGAGGAAATTGTGCCAATGAAATTATTGCAAACCAAATTTCTTCCTTGCCTTCTAGTCTAGCCTAGTCCTCTCTCTTTCTTTCTTCCCATGTAGACGCACGCGGTCGGCCAGTAACCGAACGCCAACGCCCAACGCCGGCAGTGGTGTCAGACGGACTCTGCTGCAGTAGGCCTAATGCATGTAAAAGGAACTACAGGTCGACCACGCCTTCTTGATGCTTTGAGTTCACACTTTATGCACCATGACCATGTATCACCATGACACCAACAAGAAGCAAAATGAAGCGGAATCTGCAGGCTGCCGGTATCACTGTCACTACCTTGCGGCATACAGTCTGACGACGATATCGATATCAGCACCATGCGGTCTGCCGGTATCAGCACCATGCGGTCTGCCGGTATCAGCACCATGCGGTCTGCCGGTATCAGCACCACGATGAGCTTTCAGTAGATCTAGAATCTAGATGATCTATGGCCTTCTAATCAGGTAAGATTTATTACAAAGTGCATGGCAAGGCACACATAGATCTAGACTCTATTTTTAATTAGGTAGCGTCAATTGACCTTTTTGTCAATTGCCACCGAGTGAAGCGGTGTCAAGTCTGTAGACTCTAGATCTAGAATCTAGTGCAGGCGAGTCTTTTGGCTATTCTCACCCGGTGCGCGTTCACCGTTATAGCCTAGATCTAAATCTAGATCTAGATCTAGATTCTAGGCCAACAAATTTTGCGTTCACCCTAAACCACAGAATTCTACACTGTGATAACAGAAAAATTGTAGAATTCTGTGCCGTGAACAAACGTTCCATTACAACTGTAGCTTACTAAAAGCGTACAATTTTGTCTGTGGGCAGTGAAGAGAGAGAGAGAGGAGTAGCGCGAGAACTTCCGGGCAAAACAAAATGGCGACCCGCGTAGTTCGGCTCGATTCGAAAAGTTAAATAGCCGTAGCATCTTTGTAGACAACCAGATTAATTTTTACTTTTGTTTTAACATAATTTTTAAACTTTGTTTTGGTCAATTTGATCGTCCACACCGATAGACAGTATTCAGAAAGAGACAGAGAGAAAGAGGGGAGAAGTACGGTGGCAAGTCTCACCCGGGGTGAGAGGTCGATCGTATTTCTATTCTCACCAGGGGTGAGAATAGCCACTTCCTTGCTGTGAAAGATGGTATTTCCCTGACCTGCTGCGGCACGCTCGCGTGACCGGTGTCTGACCGCGGCACAGCTCGCGGGCAACGTAAGTGGGTCATTGATCGATAAGAGCCCTCTTCCGTTTAACCCCGCAGGACTAGAGTTAAGAATCGGTTCATAAATAAAAAAGTTATGGGGTTGTAAAGGTCGGCAAAATATGGATGACCTACATATAGGAGAATACTCCTAAAAAGTGGACCACGCAGTTAACAGATTCTGTAAGAAAATCGACGATATCTCTGTAACTAATTGGAGTGTTAGAGAGAAACTTGGCTACCCGTGTGTTTTTGGGTGTAGAAATCATTTCTGCCAAATTCTGCAGTCAGATTTACTACCCATTTCGTAGTTATTTTGTTATAATTAAAATTTTGGTGTACATATTACGATATTGCGAAAAAGGGGTGTCGGGATGAGTCCATTTTATTTATAGCATCGTATCACAACTTGGGATCTTCAAGAATAGCCTATATGTCGGCAGCGTGACTAAATAATTGCAAAGCTTTTTATGATGACTTTAGACCATGCCAACCGTAAGAGTAAGTTAATTCAATCTAGCATGCCGTACAATTAAAAATTCTTTTTCCCCGTTGAGACGCGAACACCCCGAGATGAGATAACCTCGCCTCGGAATACCCCCATCGCGATGTTATAGGGGAACAGAGAGAAAAACAACTGGATGCGAAGGCCCGCCATTGCCCTATTTCAAGGAATAGTCATGCGGGGATTTGTAGGTCACATACATTTTCCGCGAGTGAGGGGAAAATGGCCGGTCTCCATGCGAAGCCGCTTTGGATAGGGGGGTAGTCGTGCCTATTTGATCGGGTCTAAACAACTACTTGACACAGAACGTTCAAATTTGAGCACACTATAGAGGATGGATAGATCTATTATCATCTCGGCGTTGAAATTCAAACTCCTTAGGCCTATAGTTTTCGGTGTACCCGATACGAAAGTGATCGTGACACCAAAAGTATTGGTTAATTTATGTGTACGAACTTCGTCCACATATCATTAGTTTGCCGAAGTGGCTAGCCGTACTTAAGTACGGCTTGACTGAGAGTCTAGCCGTACTTAGATCTAGATCTAGGTTTGGCCCAATCGACTCAAGTACGGCTAGACTGCCAGTCTAGCCGTACTTAGATCTAGATCTAGGTTTGGCCCAATCGACTCAATCCTGTTAAGTACACAGGTCTCATGAGATCTAGATCTAGTTATTATTCAGGTTCAAATACATGCAAGTCAGTAAGGCACCTTTTGGTTTTGTCTGAAATACAAATACTTTAGGCATTGCAAACTAAAATTTTCATTTACAATTCAGCCATCAATATTAAGTACGGCTAGACTGACAGTCTAGCCGTACTTATCTTAGGCCCTATTTACATTAGAAAACAGGAGGTTTAAAATACATACACTGTCATTAAGGAACCTGGTTTTGTCTCAAATACAAATACTTTAGGTACTGTACACTAAAAATGTATATTTACAATTCAGTAGGCCTATTTTTTGTAAATGGTCAGTCTAGCCATCATATTAAGAATAAGTACGGCTAGACTGAGTCTAGCCTTACTTAAGTACGGCTAGACTGCCAGTCTAGCCGTCATTAAGTACGGCTAGCCTCTTCCTTAGTTTGCCCTATTTTCTGATTGGTTGCCGAGTTTCATTCGGATTGGTTCGGAAATAGAGCAGACCGAGGTTGACAAAGTTAGTCACCTACGCTTCGGCCGGGTCCGCAAAACGACCCGCAAACGGGGACCAAATTTTCGCCGCGCGGGAAAGCCCGATTGGCATTGCTACATAATGTGTTGGGTCAATTTGTCTCAACTAATTTCATTGGACGAGCATCTAGTGCAGAGCTAAGGTACCAACTTGGCGTGTTTCAATGAGACGTATCTAGATCTAGGCTAGCCTTAGCCTGCATTTTGGTGTAGAACCAACACAGGAAATTCTAGAAGTAGGCCTAGAAGGTCACAAACGCACACAAACTCAAGCAGAAATTCACGTTATATCGGGGAACATAAATCGGGGTACTGGGGTCAGGAAAAGACACACACAGGCGAACGCACAACACCGAGCACTCGAGCACAATAAGCTAGATCTACCCACAAACGCAAAAGAGCTCTAATTTACTCGGTGGCAATAGACAGAAAGTCAATTTTGAAATTAGTTCAGTTGTCCCCGGCTCAGCAAACTTCCAAGGCCAGATGGCTGGACGTCAAATTCACCTGCCACTCATCCCGATTTAGTCTGGATTATATTCCGATTTTTCCCCCAGATCTCAAGACTCGCGCATCCCAATTTCGATCGCGTGTATCCCGATTGTTTGTCCCAGTCTGCTGTTGTGCTGGATTTTTCTAAAAGCTTTGTCGCAGGAAGCACCCGTTGAACTTTTTGTCAGTAGGAACTCTGAGCACTATTCCCCGAAATATCGTTGCCGCATTTAGTAGTTGACTTGGCCCAAGTTGTGTGTGATCTTTTCCCGCACTAAAAATTCTCCGATGGTAGCCTGGTAACTGTTACAATTTGGGACATAAATATAATTGATAATTTTCATAGTTCCGCTGTTACTTTCAAACAAGCCTTGTCCGAGGTGTGGTAACTGCGCGTTCACATCAAACATTCCGAGCGACAGTCTTTCTAACCTTTGCACAACTACATGTAACTGCACTGACAAGACCAACATATGGCCGTCGTCATTGCTTTAGTCTGAACGCAATATGATTATGAGGGATAAGAGATTTGTTGGTACATTTGGTCGGTTGCCGCCATTGTTATCCTAGAAGTAGAACGACTGTTGCTCATCCGTGTGTTTGCTGTGAACGCGAAGTTAGTCGGACCCGTTAGAAAAATTGTTTCAATCGCCCATTCGCAACCCGTGACATGACACCGCCGTGTGAGTGCTGCGTGTCGAGGACCATCCGTTGATGGGGTCAGCGTAAGTTCATGTATGTCTGGACTTGGGGGGGGGGGGTGTATAGACACTTGGAATAGGAGTGCTTGAACTTGGCGTGATTCTTCAGGATTTACAAAAAAATAACTTGCACACACACACACACGCACGCAAACAAAGACACCCAGAGGGCATATAGGCCAAGTAATTTATGGACACCCTTGGAAAAATTTTAAGTCAACTTTGGCAGTCACCTTGGTGATTTGCTGTTGATCCCGATTTTTTTCACCAAATCCTGATTTTGTTCTCCCTGAGATCCTGATTTTGAGGTTTCATTGAGTGACAGGTCTGCAGGCAACGGCTATGGGTTTTTTTTCATCCGGCCGGCCATTCGCCTACGGTTTGAGCCGCATTTCTTATTACACGTTACGATAGGCCGTACGGCCCAGAAACCTGTACGTGTAATTACGGCCAATCGTAACATGTAATAAGAAATGCAGCTCAAACTGTAGGCGGACATCCGGCGGATTATCCCGAGAGAGGTGATGGGACACAATAAGTTGAATAAGGCAGGACCCAATACTGTTGAAGATAGGCCTATCTGCCCACTGTCGAACTTGCCCCATGCAGGGGTCGAATTTGCATCAACAGCTGTCGGAAGTTGCCCCAACGAGGGCATGCCACAAAATCGCGATTGGTTGAAAATACGGAATGCAAATAAAGTAAAGAACATAATCAAGAAGTAGATATGGAATGGCTGCTTTACACTACTAGATCTAGACCAAGATGGTTTGTGTTCTTTCATAAAGGCGGGAGCAGTATTGGTCACTTTTGTAGCACTACACGAACCTGCAGAACACATAATGGCCACTAAAACCCTCATCAAATTATGGGGGAATACAGGGGGCACTCAGTAAATTTTTACTTTTACTCCTGCACACAGATGCACTGCTTCGGGGATCAAACAGCAGTATTGTTTGCTGCAGATCGCACATAAAGCCGCTAAACCTGTCTCAAATCAATTATTTTCAAGATAATTTTAAATCTAAAACTGCAAAGTATGAAATTATGGTTTAAAACAGCCCCCCCCCCCCATAAATCATAATCCTAGTCTTACAAGGGTCCTGGAGACTTGTCACACTGATCTGTTAGATCTGATCTGACCTGTTTGTGTCGATGATGATATTTTTGAACTCTCTCACTGAAACACTGATGTGAATAAATCTCTGAGACACAAAATTTTGTTTTAAAAGACCTTTAACTCTACTTTGGTATTATTTTACTCATGGACCCTTCTCGAGCTTAGATATTCTAAAGCACTGTTTTTGTTCATTTTTATCTCCTTTCACAAATTTTGACTTTATATCCACCACAAATTATTAGTTTATGAGACCTGATGAACATGGGGTAAAAATATAACTCATCAGCGAGTAGCAACTTTGAATGATGCATCTTCTTGTAAAATATGATAGGTCTCAATGATCAATCAATGTCAAGTACATGTACAGTGGAATCCTGTTATAACGAGAGAGAGAGGGGACCGGTGCGAAATGTCCGTTATACTAGGATTCTCGTTATAAGGAATCCAGTAATAAATTCAACGGAAATAATAAAGTAGGCCTAATCTATGAGTTTGGTGTTCTGTTTATTTCTTTTTGTTATCTCCCCTGATGATGACATTGTTCATTCAACATGACCTCTTGATCTTACTTGATCAAAAATCGAATCCGGCTTCTTTCTCTAGCCTCTAGCACTAGCGATGTTGACAGCATGCGTTGGTGATCAGAAAGAATGCGCTCTGGGCTAACTCGCCCGCTGTGTTGTCCCCCACCACACCACACCACGCCCCGTGATGTGTTTCGTCTGCTTGCACACGTTTCTACACATTCACTCCATCCGTCACAGCATTGTGACCTCTCTATCCCCGCATCGGAGAAGTGAGGAAATGGGTTGTGGTAGGCCTAGATAATCTAGACTAGGCTGGCCTATCAAACGATGCGTTCTGCTTGTCTGCGCTTACCACATCCTCCCCACTCATTCGCTCCGGCCTTCATTGTTTGCAAACGTGGGCTCTCCTATTCTTTGTTTCGCTCAAGGAGTCAAGGAGTTGACGCAAGCTCCTAGGTTTCGCTAGATCACCACGTTTCTCAACTGGCGAGGTTTATATATTATATAACTGGCCTGTGCACAGCAGCAGCAATATTCCGCTATAACCGACTCCTGTGTTTGTCCGATGGCGCTATAGCAGTATTTTATTTACAAAGATAAAGAAGGGGGGAAAACGGGGTTTTAGAATAGTGTCTTTATAACAGACTTCTCATTGTTTCAGGACTCGTTATAAGTGGACTCCACTATATTACAAATAGGGTAGATCTTATTGAATTCTAAGTCTTCCTAATTTAAATGTGGAGTCCGGAGGTGACATTCAATATTTGTATTAGCAGTTCATTTAGCCCATATTGTGTTCAATTCTAAAATCAACTGTTGAGTGTAGTAATTCTACTAACCATCAAGACGTTTGATCAGCAGTAATGCTTTCCCAATGATGATACATAAGATAGGGACATATGATAATCAATGATTCTTTATCTGTTCTGAGGAAAGTATTGCTATTTTTTTCTTTTTCTTGTGAGCTTTGTTTCTTATACGTTATGACTTGGCTTGTCCTTCTTCAGCCAGTTTATTTTCAAATTTTCAGATACTACTAGGCATATTTGTTGTTTGTAAAAAAAAATATGATATGTCTCAATGATCGATGTCAAGTACATGTATTACAAATAGGGAAGATCTTATTGAATTCTTCCTAATTTAAATGTTTCAGTCCTGAGGTGACATTCAGTATTTGTATTAGCAGTTCATTTAGCCCATATTGTATTCAATTCAACAGTCAACTGTTGAGGGTAATAATTCTACTAACCATCAAGACATGTTTGATCAGCAGAAATGCTTTCCAATGATGATATATAAGATAGGGACATATGATAATCAATGATTCTTTATCTGTTCTGAGGAAAGCATTGCTAATTTTTTCTTTTTCTTGTGAGCTTTGTTTCTAATAAGTTATGACTTGGCTTGTCCTTCAGCCAGTGTATTATCAAACTTTCAGGTACAACTAGGCATATTTGTTGTATCATGGCAATAATTAATAACGCGCTCACCAAAATAATGAAATTGGAAGGGCATCTTTTTACTTGTTGGTCAATTTGTATCCCCACCACCTAAATGTCCGTTTAAAAACAGATTTCAGTGTGGATTTTACTGAATGTTGATGAAAGGCATATAAAATGTAAACTTGCGGTTTCCAAGGACACTCAAGATTTTAAAGTCACCAAACTTTGGGCAATTATAAGAGCTTTTTTTTATGTGCTAACGTATACCTTGTTTTTCTGAGATGGGTGGTGGGGGTATGCTGTTTGGATGATTTAGCTGTTCTAAATCTTACTCTCAAGGCAAGATGACAATGTTTTGTGTTTTCCTGAACCTTTTGCTATGATGATACACAAGGCATAGTTCACCTGAGTTATGTGACTGACACTTTGAATTATCTGAGATGTTCAGGCAATCTTGGGTAGGATTTTAAATATACTTTCTTGTCGTTTTAAAAGTATAAGATTTGATAAAAAAAATTCAAGTAAAACACTGCCCTGTTCTATCTAACAATGTTCCCATTTTTTGTTACTATTGAAGTTCACTGAGAAATGTATTCTTTCATCCATAGGTAAATGATGTCATTTGCACCAGTCAGGCGCAGGTTGATCATTCAATCTTGAGGTAAGACTTTAAAAAAAAAATCTGCACCCTTCACTGTACCGTCCCATTCATGTGAACTTGTTGCTCTGATAGTGGTATCTATGCAATGACCCACTACTGATACATGTACCCAGAAATGGTACTCTGTCAATACTCCTGGGTTTTTTCTGTGATGATATCCAAGGCATAGTTCACCTGATCCATGTGACTGACAGTTTTGATGTCTGAGATATTCAGGAGTTTTGACCGCAGCTGTTTAACTGCTGGATGTTTTATATTTTCCCAATGAACTGGCAATGTGCTTTGTTTTGCATTTCTGCCTTTTTCTCCTTTTATGGGTTGACTGTCAGCTCCACTGAAAAATAAATTTACTTTTGAGTATACTTGCCAACATGTTTAGGTAAGACCAAAGCTTTTTACACAGTTTAGTATCCCACTGTCCTGGTAAGGTATGTTACATTGTGAGATTTTGACAGCATTCTGGCAACTACTTGCCCCGCTCCCTTTTTTTGGGTTTTGTTTTTTTGTATTATAAAATAAAATATTGTTAGCTTTTTAAATTTTATGCATGTTTTAATATGTGCACTTCTGATTGAAAGTTGATCAGTTGCATAGACCGTGTCAGGTCAATTTTTGTTCTGTATATTTTTTCGTTTCATTTGTTCACTAAGCATTTAAAAATGTCCCTTTGTTACATTCAATGAAACCAATTACGTCAGTTTTTCAGATACTTTATTTCTGGTTTAGTACAGGAAAACTTGTCTGTTCGAACCATATGTGATGATTGAATTAGTACATTCAGATCAAAATATGCTGAATTTAATTTCGCCCCTATCTGATATGGTCTCAGCAGATGCACTGTGTGGTCAACTTAAGTTTTTGTTTTCGATTGAATGTGAAAGATGTTTACTTTGCAACTATTTTTGTCATTATGATGTCACTATAAATTTTTCTTATTTTTCAGGGATGTGTCAAATTCCTACTTCAGTGACGTGACTTCTGAATACTGGTAAGCTGTCACTTTTTTGTTTCCTTTAGCGCCGTACATTGAGCCACAAATGATGATTGAAAGTTTTCAGATTTTTGTGTTGAATTTATTTTCGCCCCTATCTGATGTGGCTGAGTAATATATGTAAATAATTTTTTCATTATTGTTCAATTTGCAGTGAATGCACTTGCTTTAAAGTAAAAAAAAATCTTTCGTCTTTTGTAAATGAAAAGCTCTAGGTGGGTTGGGTGGTTTAAAGATCCCATTCTAATTTGTTCATCACCGTCTTCATTTCAACACTGGTTCAGTTGAATGTGTTTTGAAATGTTTGTTGCTGTTTTCTAAATCTTACATACATTGATAGTGGTTTTCTAAATCTTACATACATTGATAGTGGTTTCATGGTTTAGATTTATTTTTTGTTTTAGACAAATTGAGTTAAGTGTTAACCATTCTGTGCTCCTTTGATGATAGATCTCATGCTTTAAAAAAAAAAAATTTTTATTCTGCTTCTGTGGAACGTGTGCTCTGAAACGATAGCGGTGATCATAGGAAATTAGGTTTGGTGATTAATTTGAATGAAATTAAAAAACTCATCGTAACTGTTTGGTCAAACATGATGATGAAACAAACAAATGGGAATCTCTCTGATTTTTGTGATGATTGTTCATACTGATTTGGCCTGCAGTAAAAATTTCTGGACTTGTTATGAGAGTATTTTTGATCCTATATTGAATGCTTTTAGAATAAAATGGAAATTTGATTTCTGGCATGGCTTGCTTTTGTCTTTTGTTTAGGGTGGTGTAAAGGAAAGAAAAGTCCACGGCAGTATGATATCAACATCTGGTCTCATACAGGATACTTGGCGTTTGCCATTGACAGGTAATCATTTTTTTATTTTTAAAGTTCTAAATTTTTACCCTGAATGATATAACTTGCAGATTCACATGATGAATTATATGATTCTACCACATGAGATTCAATGAATAAATCATCATCCGTTCCACTAAATTCTGATGAATCTGTTTTCCAAGTTCCGTAAGTTTAGGTTTTGTCACCTGTTTCCAGCGCAACATACATATTTTATGATAAATACTAAGGACACTAGATCAAACTGTCTTTACCTTAGGTCTATGAAATGTTGTATTCAGACACATAAGTTAATATCTGTAAGGTGAACACATGGTTTTCTGCTACTTGTGGTCTTTCCCATAAATTGCCATAAGCTGTATTTAGTAAGGTACAGTCTTGACTTAAAGATTTGGTTACTGTGCGCTTTTGTGTCTTTTTTTGGGCCCGCCCACCCACCCCCGTAGCATTGTTTCTGTTCTGCACCATTATGGTCTTTAGATTTTAACCTTGGATGTTTGATTTGTTGTATTTTTGTTTTCCAGGTAGGAACTGACTTTGGCTCCTGGTGTCTTCGTGGAATTTAGACTGAATATTGGTAAGAGATTCTAACATTAGAATACCATTGCTTAAATCTTAGTGGCCCTTTTTATTGATATACCTCCCAGATTCAAATGATGAAGGAAATGATTCTACCACATGAGAATATCAATGAATACATCATCATCCGTTCCACTTTTTTCTGATGAATCTGGATAGTGATCACAGCTCTGTTTAATTGTAACCAGTGCAAATTATTCTTTTACTGTTTGTTGAATCTTTAATTCTGGGCTAAGGAAAAACAAACTTAAGTTGTTAACTTGGAAATTGAAGTGTTTTTTTTCTTTATATTTTGTAATGTTTGAAGATGACAATGAGATAAATCCTGAAGATACATCATGGATATTTTTTCCGTCAGGCTATTGAACATTTTCCAGTTGCTTACTGTGAGCGGAACTTACTGACAAAAAATACAGTTAAAGACAAAGTTCAAAAGAGGGCATATTGGATCGGCTGCTGGACAGTAGGCCTACACGTGGAAAAAGTTTTCTCTGAACAAAGCAGTTACCGTCAGACTCGTCCTAAGATGTTATGGACTTTTCAAATTTCAGGCTTTTTTGGTCAGCAGCCATTTTTTATCCCTGATCTATAAACTGTCAAATAAAGATTTTGAAAGAAAAAGAACTTACAGTTTTGATGTAAATAAAATTTCTAGTTCTCCCATGACCAGATTTTTACAGGATGGTTGGGCATGGGTTGGGTGTATAGTATGGTCTTGCTTTTTGTTTGGGTTCACAAAATATGCGCACGCCCATGCTAGTTCAAACATTTCTATTTTCCTGAACGGCTAAGCCAAGGGGATGTGGCCATTTCTTTGTGTATTTTACTTTACTCACTGTGTCTATGAAGAAAAACTGAACTCTCTCTTACTGAGTCATTATGAAGAATGTCTATTCTGAGACACAGATATTCCTCGTTGATTTATATCATTATAATCATATCAGATTATAGTGATATTATATGTTGAACAAACTGGCGAGGGAGGGGACTGTTATTCTGTTCTCAGTTTTGTATCTGATCTGTTCACAGGTCCAGCTCAATGACGCCAGGAACTATGGACCTTTGTGATGACAGCAGTCTTTGTCACTCCAATTCCAATACTCCCATGATGACATTGTGCATTCATTTTTTATTTATTTTTTAAAATCAGAAAATTTGAATCTGATGAAAATAAAAATTGGGTGCGTTAACTTAAATTTGTGCTGTTTTTTTTTTCCCTTTGTAGATTCTTAGTAAGTTGCTGATGATTGGGCTTGTAAAACCTTACGGTGTAAAATGAATATATCTGTTCACTTCCAATTTCTTTTCCTGTCTGTCATTCTCTTATTGTTTGTTTGTGTCATGGGGGGGTTTGTCAGCAGTGTCCTTGCAATCTGTACAAGACTAATTCTGTAGACTAATGGCATTTGCATTCCAGTGCCCATAGTGTCTGTTATACAGTGAAACTCGGATTCAACGAGGTCGCCGGGCCTGACCTAAAATCTCGTTGAATCCGAGTGTTCGTTATAGCAAACACAAGGTTTTGTGTAGATAATTACAGGCACTGAGCAAGTAATGTATAAAGAGAAGTCACAAGTAGTAGGCCTACCTGAAATAACTTAATATTAATATGAGCCGTGTAAAAAAAAAAAAGACTGATTCATTCAAATGCACACACATGTGTCATCTCGATTGTTTACCAAACAGTTGTGTTGCTGTGTAGAGCCTAGCATACGGCAACTTTAGAATTCCATAGACCAGCGCACAATTCATTACGTAGTTCTACGTCAAAACTAGCTAAATCATTGTAAAAATGATCAGTTGCCAAGGGGGAAAAAAGGCAAACGCATTGGTATCTGCGACAAAAGCCTGAACAGCTAGTGCCCCCCCCCCCCCCCCCCCCACATACACAGTCACACGTGTGCAGGCCACCCATCCGACCCCGACACACGTCAGAGTAGACATGTGCGTGTATTGGAATGAAAAAGGCCGCGGATTGGTCGCATGCAGTCGGCTAAGTGAATAATGGCTCACGGTGCAGGTGCAATGGATGGTTTCCGGGAATAGATAAAGTTCGTTCTGTGGGAAAAATGAGTGAAGCCTGGAGTGGAAGCGACCTCGTTGAATCCGAGCTCACTGGTGCTTTTTGAATCCGAGTTATTTTTACAGTGGAGTCCACTTATAATGAGTTCGGAAAAAACGAAAAGTCTGTTATAAAGACATTATTCTAAAACCCTGTTTTTTTTTCTCTTCTTTACGTTTGTAAATAAAATACTGCTATAGCTATAGCGCGATCAAATATGCGAGTCTGTTATAGCGGAATATTGCTGCTGCTGTGCACAGTGCATAGGCCAATTATACATGATTAAAAAACTTCGCCAGTTGAGAAACTTGTTGGTGATCTAGCGAAACAAAGAATGGGAGAGCCAATGTGTGTCAACAATGAAGGCCGGTGCGAGAGTAGGGAGCGTGTGGCATGCGCAGACAAGCAGAACGCATCACGTGATAGGCCAGTGTAAGCCTAGTTTAGATTATCAAGGCCTACCATGCCTCTCACTTCTCCGATGCGAGGATAGAGAGGTCACAGCAATGTGGTGGGTGGAGCGAATGATGAGTGACGGAATGCACCACAGGGTGTGGTGGGGTGGGGGGAAAACACGGCGGGCGAGTTAGCCGAGAGCCTTTTTTTTCTGATCGCCAACGCTGAGCTGTCAGTCAACATCGCTAGATCTAGCACTAGAGAAAGGAACCTGATTCGATTTTTGATCAAGTAAGACCTAAAGGTCATGTTGAAACCAAATCTTCATCAGGGGAGATATCAAAAGGAAATAAACAGAACCGCAAAATCATAGATTTGGCCTTCTTTAGTTTCCCTTGAATTTATTACTGGATCCCTTTATAGCGAGAATCCTGCTAACGGACATTTTGCTCCGGTCCTCTCCCTCTCGTTATAACAGGATTTACGACACACTTTCCCCCAGTGATACATATAGCCTACCTATTGCGCTCATTGGTTCGTTGTCAGGTGCGTTCAACTTTCTCAACTACTCGGCCCAATCCAGCTCATAGAAGTAATTATGTTTGAAGTGCTGTGTGTGCTTGTTTTTGTTTGTGCCGCTTCGATTTAACAGTTATACATGAGGCCGAACTACTTTTAAGGCAACTTTTTCATCACATGAAAATTAATTAGAGGAAATTTGGAGGTGAATCAGCTTCGTCCCCACCATCAACAAAAATTAAACTAAGAACAAAGAGATGGAAAACAAAGGTAACTCATCTCGTTTGAATGGTTCTCTAAATGCAGTGGCTCACCGTGAGTATAGAAAAATCATCTCTGTTTAGTTCTTTTAGCTTGCTATTTGGTGATAAAGAACTGGAAGCAACCTAAACCCCACCCAAATTTTGGTCCACCCACCGCCACTGAACCTAGATAGTGCGCCACGGCGCCCATGTAAAAAAAAATTTTCAAGGATCAAGCCTCGCCTATCGCGTATGAGGGAGAGAGAAAACATGCTTAGCCCTTTTGCTTTAGGGGGGTGTAGCTATGGTCAACACCCAAATGCTATACTTTTTGGTCTAACGCTTGCTTTTCTGCATCAAAGGGGGTGACATAGTACAAAAAAAGGTTACCAAGCAAAAAATTCAAGATTTTAGCAATAATAATCTCGAGCCATCAAAAATAAAGGATTGATTCAGCATTTTTAAAACCAATTTTATATTTTGTCAATCATCAACACTCATCAAGATAGAAGCCTAATATTTGGCATGGCGATTACTGTTGGTAGGTAGAACAACCTTACAGAGCCAAATTTGAATTTTCTGTACTGACTTGTGAGCCTTGCAGTCCTTGCTATGCACCACATTCAGGTCTCCAATGTTTTAAGATTTTGTAAAATAAAACAGGCCTAAAATTCCAAATGTTACCATAAACAGCAAAAATGCTCCTGTAAAGTTATAGAGAAATGTGTATAAAAGATTGTGTCCAAATGTGAAACACTTCTGACAATAACTTTCTGAGATCTACTCAATATAGTTTTGCAACCTGGTCAGATAAACAATTCTGGGAAAACTGCAAAGAGAGAAAATTTTTGGTGAAGATTTTCCTACATTGCTACCTCTCTTAAATGCATTTTCCGGCTATTTATAAGTTTGATTAAGGAATTAGGCTTCTAAAGATGGATCCTTGATATTGATATCTATTAAGATACTCCAAAATCCGAAAACTGATATTTTTTCAAAATTTTTACTGATCTGACCAGTGGATCCCCTTAGCTTGAATTCCTTCACACAGCTCGCAAAGTCGCCAACTGAAACATGGCGGACGCCGCTGTCGAATGTGGGAATCGCGCAGCAAGGCGAGAGAGGGGCGTACTGTATCTTAGTGCCAATAGTGTACATCTCAGTCTCCCCTCCTTCTTTTTTTGTGTATAGTATGTTACTCTCTTGTAATCTCTTCTAATCTTCTGGCGCTCATATGACCTTATGCAGTTGCGAGCGCCGTAAAACCTCTACTACAACATAACATCCAAGCTTCGGCAAGTAGGTGGTTGGCGGGTGCTCTGGTGTGGTTTGCTTCTTTCTTATCAAACATCTACCGTCCTTATCTCCCCTCCTCTTTTATGTTTGTTACTCTCTTGTAACACCTCTAATCTTCTGGTGCTCATATATGAGCGCCGTAAAACCTCTAGATCTACTAAAACAAAAAACAATACGAGATTTATCTCAGTGACCTTTTGAATGTGAGACTGTCACTGACAGCTCCTAAAGTTCAACACTCCAAATCTGACCGTACATTATGATAATTACGTTGGAGTGTTGAACTTTATGTAGCAAATACCTCGCGGAAGTGAGCTTACATATATATATATATATATACATTGTATATTTATTATTACTGTACTTTCGTTGTCAGCAGAACAGACATCAGATTCTCCTCAATCTGTCACATAACAACAATGTAGTACCTGTGTAATGGGCCGTACGTTATATGAATCAAATTAGTTTGAGAGCCCTGCTTCCGTAGGGTCTCAAGACTTCATATCAATATCAGTCGGGTGCCAACTTGTATCTTATGGGCATACTTTTTTTCTGCTGGTTGAAATACACAAACCCGTATCTAGGGCTGGGCAATGAGTCGCTTTAGCAAAATCCGGAAAATGTGTTAGTCCACCTCTTCGGCAAAAAATATGTTATGAACCGCTTCGACAAATGGGTTAGAACCACTTCTACAAACGGGTTAGCATCACTTCAACAAATGGGAGCACCCACTTCGGCAAACGGGTCAGGAAAAAGAGTTAAGAATCTGAAGTCGTATAAAGCTTCGTTGAGAATTATCCGGATTTTGCCCATCTCTACCCGTATCATGCAAGAATGATTGCCGAGCTACTCATGGACGAGTCGACCAAGGTTCGCGCGGGGGTGCTAACGCTAACAGCTCCTCTTGCCGTGATGTCACAGGCTGCACCGAAAGGTACACAACAGCACGCCTGCTGTCCCCCCCCCCCCCCCCCCCTCGTGACTCCGCTAACAAATATAAAGCATGGAGACATTGGCAGACAATGCCGCGTCACTGTCACATTACACCTCCATGTACATGTATGTAGATTAGAATCTACTAAAAACAAAATTTGACAGAATTGAGCGTCAATCACAGTATCCTCACAGAAGGTCGCACGATGTGTTTAGGGCCTGAAAACAAAATAAAAGTGTTCCTTTCTTCAACACTGGAGCAATAAACATGAACAATGATGTACGCGTAGAATTCACTACAATGTAGTAGCCTACTATTGGAATGTTAAGAAATTGAGAACTATCTGCAATAGGCCTACCAGATATCCACGAATACATGCACCGTGTTTCCTGGGTTATTTTTTAAAGCAAGGGTGTGCTTTTAAGAATTCTAAATGATTTTTTCGAAGTAGAAAGAGAGATGGAGATATTTAAAGGTGGGAGGGGGGATGCATGGCACATTTTGATTTTTTTTTTTTTAACAGTCACGCCCTTGATCTAGATCTAGATCTAATCGCTTGTAACGACTGGAGCGTTCCGTCATCCATACGTTCTTGGTCAGTATGTATGCACGTAAGTCTATCGCTCGGTAGAAGCAAAGAACGCTACGTCACCACGAGGACATGATGTGATAAGACTGGTTCGTGCCACATAAACATGCACACTCACTGACTCTTATACACATTCTTATGCGTCTCTCTCTCTCTCT